TGAAATTTATCATGAAGAAATAAACAAAGATGTGAACAAGGTTTCAGCCAGGAGAGCAGCTTATAGTAGTGAAAATGGCAATTTATCTAGTCTTCCAAGATGTAGTTAGGTAGAGTATTTCCACATAATGCGGACATTAAAAATGGTGCAACTGAGGAAAATTAATGACATGAAAAGATGTCCATGTTATTCTGTTTAAACAAATACCTAAATTTTGAAACATTATTTGAAGCATATAACTCTTTATGTTTACACATGGAGGGAGAAAAAACAATTTTTCAGGACATATCTCAAAATATCAGTGACTATTGCTGTGTGGTAGATTATAAGCATCGCATTTTCTTTCTTATTTATCCATCTTTAATTTTCTACAATAAACATTAGTGGCTTTTATGATAGTAGTTTATTAAAAGATATTGTTCGCAGACTTCTTTAAAGGCTTTCACTTTTAAAAGCATTTCTGGTTGGAGGTACACAGCACACCTGAGAACGTCTGGTTGCTCCTCCCTGTGACTCAGGTAGGCTGTGCGCCCCAGAGTGCATTAAACAAAGAACAATAAACGGGGTTTCCCAAGTATAAACTAAAGGGAAAGTTTGGCCTTTGTCAGCAAATTTTCTATATACACTGTTGGCCAAACTAAGCACAACAGTTTGTCTTTGTAGATAAAATTAAGCAGAAAATTATAAAATATCCCCTTAATGTGATATTTGAACAACCACATTAGGTGATTTTGATTTCTTTCTCTAAACCACTTTTGATCTCTGCATACTTGCTTTTCAGAGCCCAGTAGAGGGATTACAAGGAGCATTTTACTGATGGTTCCTGCAGTGTAAATAGATCGTACAATTTACAGTGATCAGTACAAATTATCAAAATTTATTGAGTAACTAAGTGTGGGCCCAGCACTATATTACACACAGTGGGGTATTCAAATAATACACAAAGACAAATGTGGTAGAGGATCTCACAGTTTTGACACAAAAACAGATTAATTAAGAATGCCTCATGTATATACGTGTTGCTCTCCAATACAAGCAATTCAGTGAGTAGTTGGTAGGTCAGAAGCAAAGTCATGATAGGTCAGAAGAGGGAGAGGTTCATTCTAACCGGGGAGCAGGAAAGATTTCTTAGAGGAAGTGAGATTTTTGACTAGGAATAAGGAAAAGTGTAACAGTCCTTTATCATTTGTAAGTAACAAATAAAATATAAACTAGATTAACTAAAAAGGCATTTTATCAACTTCTGTAATAAGGATGTCTTGCTATAGATAAGGTAAGTCCAGAAACTGAGATGATGTTGTCAGGCTTAGCTTCCTTCTCATTGTTGATTCCAGCTCCCCACAAAGATGACTTCTGAAGACATAAGCTCACATAATTAGGGTTTACAGTCCAGACCTTTCTCTTTCCCAACAACCATTGTTAAAAATCAGTGAAGAGTATCATTGGCTCTGCTTGGGGACCTGCCCATTCTAAGCTAAAATGCGTGGCCAGCTCTGTTTCGTACTGCCTGTCACTGTAGGGAGTAAGACAGGGCACAGGACAACATGACTGACAGTTCACTAGATGACATAGAGCTGGGGGATAGTTTTCCTCTGAAATGCAACGGACAGGTCAGAGACCTGTGTGAAACTAATGGACAAACACTACCATTACCACATTCCATTTCGGATGGGTAGAATGTCATGAAATAATATGAGGGCAAAGCATTTGTGAGAAAAGGGAAGAACTTGGGCTGGGATATGAATGTCGGGAAATGCAAGGAATATTTTGGAAATAGTGAGGGAATGGTGCTTGTGGGGTGCAAAGTTATTCTATAGCAATGACTACAGTCTCTGAATGGACAAAGGTTTATAGATGTTTTCCTTTACTTAGACATTTGTACCTGGGAAGTTTTGCATGCAGGCAGTTGTAAGTTCAGCAATTATTTAAATGTAACGGGAACTTGCTACATGAAAGAGAAGTTGTGTTGAATACTCGTGAAATGGAAAGAATTAAATTCTCATCAGAAACACTGACCTTTCATTTTCTGTTTTATACATTTAAATGATGATATACTGACTTTGCTTAGATGAATGTATGCCTAGATTAATCTTCTTTCAAAAAAACAAATTTTAATTCATTTAAAACATAACTTGAGCTCTTAGACCATTGCCTCTTCCTAGTAAATGTTTTAATAAATGTACATAAATGATTCTTTATATTCATATCAATAATTATAAAATCATCTACCAGTTTTAGAAGCTCATTTGGACCAAACCTTTGTTTGTTCACTGCCACAGCAGTGACTGAATGTGAATTCATGTCACGAGGCACAGAATCCCCATGGACCTGTGGTGATACTGGAGGTGGAAACTAGACCAACTGATGTTTTTGTCTTTTCTGTCTTCCAGCCAGAAATGAAATTAAAAGCCATGTTTTTATTATTTAGTATTTGTTGCATTGAGCTAAGATTATACATAGATATAGAATTAGTTCCTTGCTAGATGAATTTAAAATCTAAATTAGACAGATATGCAAGATTCTCTCCTTGGGAAATAAACTGTAGAAGTGACAACTTAATAAAAACTCAGGAACAAACCCCCCCAAAAATCCAGGTAGAGCTGGCAAAGTATTACATTAATAGCGTTTTCTGGTGATGTGCTAAGGCACAGCACTAAAAGGTCAGTTCCCAGTTCTAGTTCCTTTCTGAACTTCCTAATTTCAGAAAAATGTGCCTAAGCACGGCACACTTCTTCACTCTGTGTGAATTTCTGTACCTTCCAAATGGTTGATATTTCAAGAGAAGTTGGAATGATGTACACAATAGTAGATCTGAGGCACGTCCAGTTTCTCAGAGTAAAGTTTCCACAACAAAATGAAATAATTCACCGTGTGAATTGCACCTAATCTTTTATCTTACAAAACAAGTAAATTAGGGCTGAAATTTTAGACTTTAGAAGGATTCTTTTCAAAAGATGAATTTGAGAAACATGTAGATAGTACATCTAAAATAACTCAGCCTATAAAAATTTGATTCATACACAACTTTTAGAAAATATTTTACACTAGTCAGAGGTACAGCTTTTTAATTTAATTAATAAATGGTGCATAAAACAGTCCCTTAGAATGATTTGTTCAATCAGTGGTACTCAGAAATATGGAACATTTGAGGCATTTAAAATTATTAAGAAAAGAGCCATACAACTATTACCTGCTTTTTAGATATTTTGTATAATATTAAATATCATAGATTTCAAGCAGAAGAGCCACATATGCCTTATCCTGTTTAAGTGCCTGCTTCACAAAGTAACATTTTGTAAGATACTGGATTAAAGACCCTAAGAGCCAGTAATGATTGTAATGTAACTATATCTCTATAGTTAGAGCTAATGATAGTTTCCGAAAACATGAAAATAGTAAAAAGCTGTATAGTATTGTGCTACATTGAAACAAACCCATCGTATACGATCACACGGGATTTGATTACGAATGAGGCTGGAAGGTTTTTTTAGAACAAGACTGGTAATGGAAAGGTGAGGAATTTTCCACAATGGTTAAAAGAAATGTATACAGCCAGACCATATTGAGTAAGAAATAACTGACATAATCACCAAATTTTAAAGAAGATGCAACGTGAAATAATGCTTCTATGTTTGGTAACAGAATCTCCTTATCAAAATATTATCCATGGCCCATACAGGGAATGATGGGTGGGTCAATGTCAAAAAGGACAAGATGAACAGATGAGTGCCTGCCTCCCTTCTCCCTTCTAAACAGACCTGGCACACCCAATGAACCTGATGCTGAGAGCATGAGAAAGAAGTTGCAATTGTTGGACCTCAGCTGCAGAATTCCCCTGAGTCTGCCTAACTCTATTCTTGTTGCCAATTTCCCTGAATTTTTCTGCCTCTTGTTTTCTGATCCTTAGCTCAACTTTGTGTCTCCCTCTGATTCCCAATTTTGCTGTCTTGGGTGTTTGAGTGCTGTTTTTCACTTGTGAAGCACCTCCATGATTTGATTTTGGGTGACTTTTTTCCAATGACCCCATGCACACTGTTTCCCTTGCACAGTACACCATGGGGAAGAGGCACCTACTCCTGTGCCCTGTTGCAGTGCAGTGGGGCCTGTACCAATCCGTCATGACCCAACTGGACACTGCTTGATTAGGAAAGATCTGACTTAAACTCAAGAGAAAGCTTTTGAGTAAGACCTAGCAAAGTCAGGGCACATGTGTCACCGTGCCTCACTTAAGATTGTTTAGGGTAGTTGGCCACCTTTCCACTGCCTCCGACAGACTGGCTTCTATCACAATTCTTGGAACATAGAATGTCCTCAGGAAATATTTAATAAGAGGATGGGTGAATGAATAGGTAAATTCTTATAAATGCCAGCTATAAGATCTAGGAATGATCACACTGGTTCTTGAGTGTGTGCGTGAAGTTGCAAAATACGATGAATCTTTAATTAGCAGAATATGTTTGGTGAAGATTCCTATTCATATTTCTTTTTAAAAATAATCAGGAAGCAACTTAGCACATGTACTTGTCATCAATTCGAGAACATCTGTGGATTTAAAACAGCTTTGAAAATAGTTACTTGCCTAGATTAAGACTGGCTTCTGCTGTGTAAGCAGTAAAGTATTCTAAATTCATATGCACAGGTACATACCCTGGTAGAAGGCAGTTCATGGAAGTACCAATCAGCTGGCTCATATCTCTGTCACACTCTGGGTCTTATAGGATTATGTATATGTACACTCCACACACACACACACACACACACACACACACACACACACACAACTGAGTTAAAACAAAGAAAAAGAGGTAACAGATGCACATCCTAATTTCTTGCATGAAAAACTGCACGTTTCCTCTAGAAATCCGAAATAAGGGTTGTGCAGCCTGAGCTGTCGTATGAAATGCTCACTGTTTAGCAAGGGAAACCATCCTAAATACAATGCCTCTCTCTCCATCAGCTGCTGCTCGGTGTTTGTGGTATTTTTTTGTTTTTTTTTTTAGATTGATGGGTTGGACGTGGATAGCTTATTTAGCAACATTGAATCCGTGCACCAGATATCCGCCAAGCTGCTGTCGTTGTTGGAAGAGGCCACAGCAGACGTGGAACCGGCCATGCAAGTCATTGGTATGTTTATTCTCCTCTCCTTCTACAATGCGACAGGAAGTGATATTTCAATAGCCTCCCTTTGCTTTGGTTTTATATTTCTGACTCCACAAACCTCCCAGGAGATATATTAATGCTAAACCCATCTTCAGGCTCATTGTAATTATACAAACTCTGTATTTATTTGGAGATGGGTTTATATCCATTTGCTGAAGTCTCGCAGCGTAAGCACAACCATTTGCTTTTTGGTTTTTAATCTTTCAAACTCTTTGCCTTCCAGATGTTCTCATTTTGTTTCATGACTAACACTTGATCCTTAAAGAATTAAATATTTAAATACTTTAACAGCTTTATTGATTTTAGTCACATCATTTTTCAGATCTATGCCTACAAATCCATTGATTTTTGGATTATAAATTTTTTGTGTGTAAGGGGTTTATATGATTTGTAAGACAACAAGTTCAACTTTTTCCATGCTTTTCTTTTTTTTCTATATTATTTTCTTTTTATATATATTTTCGCTCCCAAATAGCCATAGATTACTTTCTTACTCTGGTAAAATTTTTGAAAAAAAAATAGAGATATCATTGGAAATGTGTTAAGCCAAATTTTTATTCTCTTCATTTCTTGGGCATTGCAAAAGGAACACTGTGTGTGAAATCTGTGAAGGCAGTTATCACTTCAAGATCTCAAATGCGTAGCACCAAGTAGGCCAAGAATATTTTTAAGCCATTTTTATCCTTTTTTTGGTTTCACACATAATATGCAATATGTGCTCATTACAAAAATAATTAAACAGTTTAGGAGCACACAGGGTAATATACGCATACAACAACACTGCCTTCCCATAAAAAGCCACTGTTATACGTTTGATGTAGATCTTTTAGTTGGGGACAGGCACAGAGACACCAGTACACATTCATATCTTATATCTTTATTCACTATGTCTTTATTTGTTATGGAAATAGAGTTATAAGAATGGTATGATATTGATCTTGTTTAGTGTTTATGAGTGACCCAAAGATTAATAAGCAAGGCTGATCTTACATGAAAGGTGACTCAACCTGGCTATTTGTGCTATTTCACAGACCAAATGCCAATTCACTCAAAGAGATTCTCCCACAGAAAGGTTTAAAATTCAATCACTTTGTAATTAAATGTCCCCATTATATACTGAGTTTGTGCTCCCCCAAAATGTATTTGTTGAAGCCCTAACCCCCGAAGTGATGATGCTTAAAAGTGGGGCTTTTCTGAGGTGATTTAGGGTTAGATGAGGTCATAAGGGGAGCTCCCCTGTGGAGGCACCAGTGTCCTAGTAATGAGGGGAAGAGAGAACAGAGTTCCCTCTCTCGGTCCCTCTCCACCATGTGAGGGCACAATAAGAAGATGGCCTTCTGCAAGCCAGGAAAGGAGGTCCTCACCAGAAATTGAACCCTCTGGCACCTTCCCAGCCTCCAGAACTGTGGGAAATAAATGTCTGTTGTGTAGGCCGCCCAGTCTTTGTGATTTTGCTATAGCAGCCTGCGTTGTTGACTAATATAGTTTCCAATATATTGTAAAAAATATTTTCTAGAGGGAAAACTATTCGTTATATCTTTAGTTTGGATTCATTAGCCATTCATTTATTAATTCACTCTGTGGATAGTTGTTAGCAGCAGCATGTTCACAGTGTCAGGCGTCAAAAGATGAAAAAGTTCATCTCCATCCTTCAAAAGTAGGCCAACAGCTCCGTGAATTGAAGATATTTGTATAATATACCATCAGAGTAGTTTCTACACAGCTGCAGACCCTCAGAAGATAAAGAGAATATTTCTAAATGGAGAATCAGAAGAAGATCCTTGAAGATATTACTTGGACTGAGGGGTACAGTCAGACTTCAACAAGGGAGGTGCAGGTTGGGAAGACTAAGTAGGAGTACAGCATGTACATGAGCATGGACGGCAAATGCCAAGGCGTTCAGGAAATGGGGAGTGACCAAGTGAAGCTGTAGGAAGGACTTATGCAAGGGAAGAATGAAAAATGAACCTGGAGGTATAGGATAGGGACAGACCATACTGGGAATCAAAGTTTGGAATTTACTCTGCAGGAGCCATTAAAAGTTTTTTCAGCAGGGGTGTGATGAGACACAAAAGTTTCTGGAAAAAGAGAACTCTGGGAGGTATGAAGAGAATGGATAGGAGAAAAGGAGTCCTACACCAGTGGATAGGTAGTTATTGATAACACAGATATGTGGTGACAGGCATCTAGGCTAAGGTGGAAACAGTGAGAATTAGAAATAAGGGCCAGGTTCAAGGGAAACATGGGCAAAAGCATAAAAAAGATTCAGGGGTTGGCCACATGTGCTGGAGTCAAAGACAACTCCAGGTTTAAGGAGGTGTGTAACCTGACTTGCTGAGAACATCCTAATTTTAGCCTCTTGTTCAATCATCCAGTCCAGTTTAGCATTTGCTCCAGATTTTCTCCTTTTTAAAGAAGGATCATTATTGCTAGCTGTTTTTCAAGAGATCTGGTAAAACCTCTACACTGTACTTCAATTTCTGATATAGTGTCTCCTAGTAGAGCGTAAGAGTCAGGTACATTTGCTAGAGTTCTCACAGCAACATAAATGCTGGAAGACAGCCCATCTCTTCTCTTCCATCCTTCCTAGTTTCAAGGAAACTTCCACCTTCCTTTAAAGCACAGCCTGCAGGGCATCGGCTCATAAAATGATGACGTTGGAACATGGGCAGCTAGCAGCAGCTAACTGCAACCTGTCCTGCTGAGGCTAGGAGATATATTTCATGCTACAGATCCTGCCATCCACTTGGTCTGTCATGGCCCATGCTAGGTGGCATATGCCAGGACCTGTGAGAGGCATGAAACCACCAGGATAAGAGTCAATGGGTTTAGTGGGAGTGCAGAGAATGAAAGATTAGACAGTGGAAAGATGATGATCAATGCTAGATTTAGTGGTTGAAAGTTTGAGGACATATCTGCTTTTTGTAGTCTCCCAGGTATGTCCTGGGAGTAATGGTTGATCTCAAAGGGAAAGGTAGATGGGAAGTTTACAGTAAGAAGCCAGACAGAGAAGACTTTATTCAAGTGATCAAGGACACAATACTAAAAAAGTACACACAGTTACAGGATAAACTTGGGATGTAGAAGGGGGACGTGATATCATATCTGTGGTACCTTTGCCCAAAGTATGTGCAATCATTAGAAAACATCAGATACCAGCAAACTCACATGAGGGCCACTCAACAAAATAACTGATCAGTACTCTTCTAAAATGTCAAAGTCATTAAAGACTGAGAAGGTGTAGTCTTTTAAATGTTGCAGGAGACTAATTAGTTCTACCAAGTGATAAATAAATGCAAGGGGGAACCTGGGTAGATTCTAGAATAGTGAAGGAACACTAGTGTTGAAGCAGCCTAAGTGCCAGCCAGTAAATGAGTGGAACAAAATACTATGACACATTTACACAACAAAATAATACATAGCAGAGAGAAAGAAGGAGCTCCTACCCCTTTCAACAGCATGGATGGAACTGGAGAGCATTATGCTAAGTGAAATAAGCCAGATGGTGAGGAACAAATGCCATATGATCTCACCTTTAACTGGAGCATAATCAACAAAAGAAAAAACAAACAAAATATAACCAGAGACACTGAAATCAAGAACAATCTAACAATAGCCAGAGGGGAGGAGAAAGGGGACAGAGGGGAGAAGGGTTTTCAGGAACATCTCTATAAAGGACACATGGACAAAACCAAGGGGGAGGGTGCAAGCCAGGGAGGGAAGTGGGATTGGCCTGGATAGGGGGGAGTAGCGGGGGAAAATGCAGACAACTGTAATTGAACAATAATAAAGTAATAAAAAATAAATAATTAATTTAAAAAAGAAATTCGAATGAGGTGTTTACTTTAGTCAGTAGCATTGAAGAAAACTTCCTTTCCTTTTTCTGACAATCCTACTGTGGTTATGTAAGATGTTAGCATCAGGGAAGCTGGGCGAAAAATATTTGGAAGCTATTGGTATTGTGCTTGCAACTTTTCTATAAGTATAAAAATAGTTTGAAATTGAGTTTAAATATTATGGCTTACGGAGAAAACAATTAAAGATAGCCACAATTTTAAATTTAGTAATCATGAATCGCAACTGGAAGAAGATTATAATTAAAACAGTAAGACTGTATTTGAAAAATAAAGGTTTGGAGTCATATTTCACCCCCTGGCCTTTTATATCTAGGCTAGCCTGATAGCTTGCTTTGGCCAATAAAATGTGGCAAAAATGATGTTCTACGACAGCATTGTGACATCCACTGTCTGCAGAAGGAGAAAGATGGCTCATATTACCCATTTGTTCCCATCAACACAATCAAGGCCTTGGACCCGTGTGTAAAGCTCTCCTCAGCCAGCTGGCCTCCAGCCACAGACTGCAAGCGCATGAATAACACCCCCCCCCACACACACACAGGACATGCCATCCCAGCTGAGCCCTTCTCAAATTGTCAGCCCAGAGAATTGTGAGCAAACAGTCTTGTTTTAAGCCTTTCAATTTCGAGGTGATTTTGGGAGGATCTGCAGCCATAGCTAAGTAATACAGTTTCACTGAAAAGAGATTAATTCAACTCAGGTGATGAGAAAAAAAGTTTGGTTTTGGAAGGTATATTTTATGCTGGGACTTGAAGGATTTAGAAAGGTGGATATTGAAAATAATGACTTTCTAAATGACAAATGGCATAAAGTCCTCCAGGTGGGAAAGTATGGGGAATTCTTAAGAAGCACAGCAATCCAATGTGGCCGGACATCATGTCTGGGAGGGCTCCACCACCCACGCATAGCAGCCATGTCCATGCAGAGTTCGGTGGCAATTTCCACCACTAAACACCTTTCAATAAACTCCTTTCACCAAAGCTCTTACATTTCATAATACACACTGATTCTTGAGGAGGTATTCCAAAATCATGTTACTACAAAATGAAAAAACACACGTGTCCTATTTCTCTGTCCTTAGATGACATGAATGAGAGTTTGCAAGTC